AGCTCTTCACCACGACGCCACACCAGAAATAACTGCTGGATTCAGACGGAGCAGCTCTTACACATGGCGCAGAGGCAGCTTTTAAATCTGGGGACTCCGGGAGTCATGTGCAAGCCCAGCCACTGGCACGCTCTGGATCTGAGGCCAAGCACGTGCTTCGCACACGGTGGGCCCCAAGTGCACTTGCTGGCGCGTCCAGTTAAAAGGGCAGGCCTGGAGGCTTCACAGAGCTGCAGCAGGCGCACCCAGTGGCGGGCCGGAGAGGTTCAGAGACCCACAGCTTCTGATGCAAAGTTACACAGTCGGCGCAATTGATGGACTGCTGGAATGGAGCAGGGTTAGGGCTGGGGCCAGGGTTCCCCTGCTCCTCAGAGATTCTGGGAGGCAAGGCATGCTTCCTAGGAGGCTGAAGGCAGAGAACTCCACATTTTCTGGGTCAGTGGCCCCATCAACTGGGGGTTTTGAGGGAGTGTCAGGGGCTTCCCAAAACAGCTGCCAAGGCAGGCTTGCCCATTTGTGCCCCTGGGGCCCACAGGACTCCTGTTGGAGGCCCAGGCAGGACCATAGTTTTGATCCACCATCTGACCCTGGCTGACTGTGCGTTGTGAGGCCACTGTTTCCCTGCTTCGGCAGCGACGGAAAACGACGTTTTGAAGCCAACTAGGAAGCCCCGTCTGCACCCAGGAGCAGAGCAGTGGCAGCGCGGCACTTTGAGTGCTGTTTGTTCCCATGCAATGAGCCTCCTGTGTCGAACCAGGAATGTTACACGAACTCGAACTCGAACTTCGAACTCGAAGGGGAACTGCCTGCTCGGGAAAGCCTCTTGCCGTAGCTGTCACCAAGCCGTAGGCAGCCAGAGAGGCCACCAACAACTTCAGGGAACGAAGCCAAGCCAATTCGGAGTGAGGGAGCGTGAGCTGCCACAGCGCGGTAGAGCAGCCGGAGCCAGCAGGGCCTATCTGGAGACAGGACTGGCCACCTGACAGCACCTGGGGAGCACAGGAGGCATCCCCCTGCCCTCACATTCACTGGCCTGGCACAAGGCAGCAGAGGAGGCATCTCCCCCTCACATGCGCCCTCACTGCTTATGTGCTGGGGCATGGCTGCAGGGGGAGGCTTGCGGGACATGCTCGGGCTGTCCCCAGGAGTGCTCATTGCATGCTTCCCCTGCAGACGCACTCCTCACACGGGATGGGGTTGGCAAGGGCTAAACGCTTCCAGCGGCAGCTCACCGCTTCCCCGACACGGATCTGCATGAAAACCCACGCAGTCTGCGGTACCGGTACGGCCCCTCCGGCCACATCTGGCTCTGCGGCATTCTCCGGAAGGCTCCCCTGTAGCTTTTCTCCCCATTCCAGAAGCCTGCAAAGGCTTGCTGACTGGCAGAAGCTGGCAGAAGCGGAAATATTTAAGCTGGCAGTTTGGGCCCCATCCTGCCCCCTGCAGCCCTGTCCCCCTGGCCTGCCCACCACGGAAACGCAGTCCTTAGCCCGTCTCCCAAACCGAATCCAGCTCTCCAGCAGCATTCCGGAGGCATGCACCAAGGGGCCACCGCATCTTGGCCTGATCCACTGGTGGAGGGGTTTTCTCCAGAGTAAACCTGCCGGGGGTGGGCAGTAGTTAGCCAGAGATGCTGTCCTTCGGCTCCAAAACAAGGCAACAGACCAGCACCTTCTGGAACGGCCCTGGGCTCCCCAGACTAGCTTGCTGCAGAGCTCAGTCAGCTTGCAGGGCCAAAGCAAGTTCAGCCGATAGGCCACCCAGCACAGCGTGCCCTGAGGGGCGAGGGTTTGAACCAGAACAGTTCATCGGCAGCAGAAAAAGGCTGAGCAGATGAATAACAGTTAAGCTGGTTTGGCTCCAATCAATACAGATCATTCAGCAGCCCAAACAGCACCCCCCACCCCCACAGGCAGGAGCATCCTTCTACTGCAGTTCATTCATTTCTACCATTCCAATTCATTTGCTGGGAGACAAGGAGCGATTTCACACCGGGATGCAGAAATAGGAGCGGAGATGCAAAGGACCACTACCCATTTCTGCGAATTCTTTACAGAAAAGGAGAATACATGATGATAAGTTTTTTACATAAAGCCTTCCATGTGTAGAAACATACATTTAGTTGAATATATGTTCACTGTGAGCTCATTATTTTAGTGCGCGAAGAAGGGGCTCTTTTTCAGCTCCAATCGCTGCAGAATTGCTAACAGAACCATTAGTCACGTTTTAAGGGAGTTGTCCTCTTGGGACTGCCGGCTACTGGCAGTGCAGTCAATGCATCTCTCCCAAAGGATGCCCTAGGCATGACTCAGGAAAAGGTGGGGGCTGCACCTTTTAAAAAAGCACTAAAAACGCAGCAGCCCACCAACAGACGGAGGTGCATCAACATTTTGCAGGCTGCGATCAGTGGCTGTAACAGGCAGAAAATTCAGCAGGTGAAACTTTCTTGGCTCTGCTGAAATGCACAGGAGCAATCCTGGAGAAAATGTTGGCAGCCCTGGCATGCAAGGTACATTTCAAAAGTACGTTGCTTTGCTATAAGCCCATGTGGGTTGACCAGGAACAGCTGCAATTCAGAAGCAGAAATATCAGCGTGTGGAGGCCGCAGTCCCATGGACTGCAACAGGTTCTCCTTCGGACGAGACATGGACAAGACAGTGGGGCTGCTCGGGTGCACGGATTTTGTTTAATCCGTTCCATGTGTTTTGCAGGTGGTCAGCCATCTTTCCTTCCATTATTCATTTGTTGGTGGAATAAGAATATTTTCCCTTCATAAAAGGACCCAAAATCATGAGCTGCAATTTGTGTCGCTTCTGCTGATACACAACATTTTGCATATTTTCAAAGTGCTGCACGGAGGAGACTGAACAAAAATCAAAGTAAAGCCTAAACAAGCATATAAATTAGCATATTTTCTAGTAATTTTCATACTCTCACATGACTAAATTTCCATAAACACCCTGAAAGTTAATTTTTTAAATGCCTGCAAGTCCACCGAATCCTTATGACACAGAAAGCACCAGCCCCCCTGCAGAACCTGCAGACCAGTTTCACAGAAATTCCAAGTAATTTGAATTTGTTTTGGGTTTCACTGACCTCTCTACCTGTAAGCCATTTTTGATCTATTTGAAAAGTGTCCCCTTTAAACAGGCAACCTGTTCTTTAAAAAAAAACCAAAAACTTAATTTTTTGTTAAATGTGTTACCAAAAAAGGCAGACAGTAAGCACTGTCTTAAACTGACTTTTCCCTTTTTCTCCCACCAAGGATCAAACACTTCCTCTAGGATCATGTGTATTATGCACGTGTGGGAGGAGATCCTATCTCAAGAACTTCGGAGGGGCCCTGCAGAATCCGATCCAGGTTTACCTGGGTCAGCCTTCCGTTCACGCAGCAGCCCATGGGAAGCCCAAGCAGCCCACGAGCACAACACCGTCAAGCCATGCTTGCTCCCCGCCAGCCGGCTTGCCTGAGCCACCGTGCATCTGGTGCCGGAGGCCACCCAGCGCATTCCACCCTGGTGGCCACGGACAGCCTCCTCCTCCAGTCCCTTCCTGCTACAGCCACCGAGTTCCACCTCCGAGGTCCTTCCCGCTCACCCAGGAAGGAACATCCCGGCCCGCCTCATGAACCAGTCACGAACTCACCGACCTTCCGCTGCGGAGGAGAACGAAAGGCCTTCCCTGATGCCCTACTCCCAGAGTGGGTGACCCAGCGCACAAGCCCTGACCGTGGCCCTGCTCGGTGAGGCTGATGGGAGTTGTGGTCCAAAACATTTGGAGGGCCCAGGCTGCCTCTGCTGCCTTCTCGTTGCCAGAGGGGTCTCCCCCCCCCGCCCCCGTGGATGCGGCCACCGCGAGAAACAAATGAGTTGCCACACACCTTTCCCTGCCAGTGTCTTAATCAAGCATCTCCGCCAGACATCCACCTGAATCTTTGTTTACCTTTAATGTACCAGCAAATTGTTCACGAGTTATTAATTCCAGAACAGAAAAGTCATTTTCTTAAGATAACCTGCCTGCCTGCTCACCCCCACCAGCTAGTACCTCGCAATTAGGGAGCGGCTGCGAGGCAGAAATCCTCCATCACACTTTATGACTTCGTTGTGTTTAAACCGCATGCTAAATTCCCAGTGGCTCACGAGGACGGAGAAGCATCCGTGATGGATTGGACCGGAGGCCTATTAGGCCCACATCCTGCTCCACAGTGGCTGACGTATGGGGAGCTCGCCAGGGGACCATACCTCAGAAACGCCCCCCGCCCCCAAAGTCCCCCGTGCTTTGCTGCATCCCTCCGAAGGAAGATGCCGACACAGTGCCCGGGCTGCCAGCCCCTCCGCAGGCTCCGTTAGCGGGGAGCAGAAGAAGCACTTGGCCTGGTCATGGCTGTGTTACCGTCCTGGCTTTTCCCCACTTTCAGAGGCTGCTTACGTCACCCTCTTCTTCATTCTGGCCTCGCAACAAGCCTGTGGGGGTTGCAAGGCGGGTCGGGTCGGGGCTCTGGGGTGGGGCCTGTGCTCTGCATGTCAAACGGCCCGGCTCAGTCCCTGGAGTCTCCAAGAGAACCAGGAATACTCCTGCCTGATCCCCACAGAGCTGCTGCTGCCAGTCCGTGTTGGCAGCACTGGGCTAGATGGACTGAGGGGCTGGCGCAGTAAAGGCTGTTCCTATGATTCTAGCGTCCGCTGTGTCAGAGTCTGGGCTGCTCCGGTGGCCAGAGCCAGAACCACCACTGAATCTGCTGGATCACGGAGTGCCAGCTGGGAGCCCCAGAGAAGAGCTACAGAAGGGCGGCTCTTCCCTCTGGAACGGGCCGCAGCGGCAGGGCTGCGTCTTCCAGCCTCGCTCACGCCAAACCCTCGCTCCTCCCCTTGCCCCGCTTCTCTTGCGCTCGGAGGTGTGCCCCCGCCCCGGCCCCAGGCCTGCCCCAGCCCCCGGCCCGGCCCCAGCACTTCGTCCGTAGCTGCCTGCCGCCCACGCCCAGCCCCGGCGAGGGCACTCACAGTGGCGGCCACCTTCCCCGCGTTCCGCTGCATGTGCGCGACGGCGTCCCGAATCAGGGAGAAGAGGCTGAGCAGCACGTGCTCCATGTCGTAGGCGCCCCGCATGGCCCTCGTCAGCCCCTCCAGAGCACGCAGGTACTCGCGCCAGTGGCCGTCGATCTCCGCCACGCCGGCCAGGCAGCCTCGCAGCACCGAGCCGCAAAGGCCGGCGCACGGCCTGGCCGCCGGCAGGTCCTGGCAGTGGGGGCAGAACCACATGCGCAGCAGCGCCCGCCCGCAGTCCTTGCTGAACCGCAGGTGGTCGGTGGTGTTGACCACCTCGATGCCGAGGTTGAGCGCCTGGAGGAAGACGCGGGTGACCTGCAACGACCGGGACACCTGCGTCATCATGGCCTTGGGGAAGCCGCCGAACACCTTCAAGTCCTGCCGGGCGAGGCGGAGGCACTCGGTCGCTTCCGCTGAAGGGCTGGGGGCGCCTGGCTGGGCCAGCTGCGCATAGACCAGAGGGAAGAGGCTGTCGAAGAAGCCGTTGATCATGGCATTGACGCTGACGTCCGAGCCCAGGATGTACAGGGAGATGTCGGTAAAAAACTCCCCCACCAAGGAGGACACTTGGCCCGCTACCTCACGATAGTAGTTCCTGAACATGGCGTTGGTGTAGTTTCTCGCGTGCCGCACTACAATTTCAAAGGCTTCTGAAAGACAGACATGACATGGAGCAGGGTCAATAAACGCGGCACTGCGAAAAGGGAAGGAATGAATCACGTCTATTTCATTTGGTTGCATAAATGCACAAACCAGTTTATGAATAACCTGAGCATCATTTCATTAGCAGAAGTCATACAAAGTGTCCTTCAAGGCCAGTTTGGCACCATCATCCGGACCGGTCCTGGGGAAACCTTGCCCACTCTGATGTTAGAAACAGAAACAGAGCAAGTCAGAATGGGTCTCCTGAGCCATCTAGTCTGACCCCCAGCTCCAGCCGGCCTACCATGTTCTCCAGATGTTCTGGGCTGCAACTCTCATCATTCCTGAGCTGACTGGGTCAACATCTGGGGGGGCTTCTGCAGGTGGGGCATCAGGGAGGCTGGTCCCTCACCCATCAAAGGGGGGATCCAACCGCGCCCACCAGCAGACGTTCTCAGCATCGTGCCAACAGAGGCGAGGCTTGCTGGCACAGTGGCGTTCTTAGGAAACCCACAGCACTGGCAAGTGCCACGGAGTTGATGAAATGCTGGTTTCCGCTTGCAAATCCCTGGGTGGGGGGGGGGGGAGCTCTTGTCCCAAAGTTGCATTAATTTGCATTTAGGGCCATGCTCAAGTTTCCCACTCTGCTAATAAGATCATTATTCTCCTCACTGGCCAGAGTGTAAGAAAACACGCAAAAGGGGAGGAGAGACTCCCTCACTGCAGACAAGGTATCCCATTCTTTTCCAAGCTAACTACCCTCACGTGCCTGCTCCCACCCCACCCCACCCTACTCCACCCCACCCCCAGGCAGCATTAACAAAGCAAGGAAAGAGTCCCTGGCGTGGGTCACCAACCCCCTTTTGCCTAGCGGCTTTCAACTGCGCAGGCCTGCCAGGGGAAGGACCCAGACCCACCACACACAGAAATGCTTTGTGTGGGATGCAATAAGCCTCAAAGCCACAATGTCTCCTTCCCCCACTGCCTGCAGCATCCTGCACCCGCATCCCACTTTACAGCTGAATGGAGACAAGTTCCAGGTTCCACCCACACCGCCAGAGTTGCGCGTTGGAGTCACTTAGACAAGAGGAGCGCCGCCCATCGCTCACTGCACCCGCGACTTCCCTGCAGTGCAGCTGGCCCCGGCCCCGGCCCCGGCCCCGGCCCCGGCCCCGGCCCGACTGCTGAGAGCCATCTTGGAAAAGAACTCAAAAGTCTAGTAGAACTTTTCTTTAATTAATGGATGCAGCCCAAGATAATTTAGCGGTGTACATGACTGAAGCATAAAACTTTATGTAGCTTTTCTGATGTCTAATTAACATACATTGCTACAAAAACCCACGAAGGAGGGAGAGAGGAGCCCTGATTAATTTTTACAATTTCCTACATGAAAAAGAACTTGCTCTCCTAATTGAAGGCAATGGCACCATCCAAAGCAATGGAGCTGGAGAGGCAAGATAATTCTTTTAGCGCCTGCATAAACACACTAAAAAATTGAAACTGAATCAAAATCCAGACAGAACGACCAGAGGCAGAAACGAGACAAAGGACCTAAGCCCCAGGGTGCCTTTCCTCTGCAGCCCTGAAAGAGCAAGAAGTATTGTCAAGGAACTGGTGCAGGAAAAATGGCGCGGCTTCTTTTGGAACGGGATGCCAGGCAGCTCGGCCACAAGGCGGAGTGAGGCACACAGCTCAGGCAGCAGAGTCTGGAGGGCAGGTGAGATGCTGCCACGAGGTGCCCAAAGCTCACCTACTACCCTCAGGTGTGGCAGAGGATGCCGCCTGGTCACAACCTCTGGGTGGGATTCAGTGGGCCAGCTGGTCAGTTTTTAAGGGAATGGTGGGAATCTTGTCCTTTGCCTCAGGCAGCAAAATATTCCAGGACGACACAGCATGCATTATGGAGATTGTAACTGATAATGCTAATAATTTGGTTTTGGTCAGCCAAAAGGTGGTCCTCAGAAGTTTCGGACGTTCCTCTCAGCATCCCTAGCCGATGGCTATCCCGGCAAGGATTTCGGGAAGTCCCACATGCCTGGCAATCTACTTTCTGCTCACCCCTGCTCTATGCAACTCATCACTTGGAACAAAGGTTCTTTAGCAATAAAAAAAGCCCACAGTACGTTGCAGTAGGAATTTGCATACGCGGAAAATGGATGCCAGGGTTCCTACTCTTCCAGTTAACTGAAAGAATTGCAACCCTTTTCTGAGATGTGCCACTCTTTGATGGCGCTACACACTTAACTAGACAAGAATTGTTTCCTGCCTTGAGTCTTTGCAACACCACATCAGTGAATAGATTTATTGCTACTAATTATCTACTAATAGATTTAATAAACACAACTGCAATATTTTAGCTCTCAGATGCAGTGCAGTCGGTTGCTCTTCTTCTTAAATAATATACTTTTAAAATTAAATAGAGACGCTTGCTTTGTCAAAAGCAAATAATTAATTTTTCATCAACCCAAAGCAATGTGATCCATTGCGTATACAACATTTCCAGCGAGTCGTGATTTAAACGTTCCAATATAGCTGAACCATATTTTTAAGACCGAAATCTATCTATTGGTGAGGCGCCTTTCATTTATGCCATGCTTAAAATTTATTAGCCCTTTCCTGAGAAATGCATGGATAGCAAATTGCTCTGGTCTTCACGATAAATCAGAAAGGTGCTTGGAGCCACGTGGAGAAAGGATGCAGGATTTCGGGAAACAGGAGAGCCCCCGCCTCTCCGGCCAGAGAGTCAGATGCAGGGGAAAGTCAACAGCCAGGAAGGTGAATCCCAGCAGGTATCTCTCCTTCTCTCTGAGAGCAACACTGGAGAGAACATTGGCCGGGGTGCAAAATTCACACACAGAGGCAATCATGAAAAGTGGCAGAACCTCTGTTCAGTTCTGCACCAGAAGCCAATGGGCTAAGCAGAACTGTAGCTAGAACCCCAAAAAGCAAAGCCAAGGTATTGTTTCAACTGCCAAAGCATCACCTCCACCAGGGTGCCCTGGGGTGTGACCCCTTTTCCCTGGCCACAGGTCAGGTTCCCCCAAAAGACTGAAAAGTCTCTTCCAGGGCTTAGATGTTGGCAGTAAGAGATTTTAGCCCCAGGAGGCTGGCCCAGTTTCCATTTGATTTGCTCGAGGACCAGGGGATGGAATCTGCAGGTTTCGAGGTGCTCTCCCCCAGAACCCGCACCCCCAAGCAAACACCTCCATCCTGGAATGAATCCCAATTCTAGCCCAACAGCTACACATAGCTCAGCTCCGACCGAAGCCTTGACATTCCTGTGCCAGGGTTGCTTCCCGTTCTCACCGGGAGCACAGCTGTGCCAAAGGCCGCCACACCGGGGAAGGGGAAAGCCCCGTGTTCCAACTTCACGGACCGAGCAACAGGTCTGCCCCATGAGGGGCTTGCTCAGATCACAAGCACGGACGGACGTGAGCTGTGGGCCCACGGGAGAATGTCTGCAGGAAGGTGCCCAACCAGAAGGCTTTAGCAATTCAGTTAAGCAGGCCTGGAGCGGACCCAAAACTTCAAGGAGAAATGGGGAGGGTTTATTTTATGCACAGTGAAGCAAATCAAGTTTCTCTCCTTTCAGAGAATATTCCCCTTGCCATATTCTCTTTTTGAAATCAATGCAGTAGCGGTCCAGCGAGAGAGAGAGAGGGAGAGAGAGAGGGAAAGAGAGAGAGAGGGATAATCCTCTTGACTTTGGCAGCAAATGTGAAAACAAGCACTCTTAAAAAATGTTTTGACTTTAGAACTTCTTTTTAAGGCCATCTCACATAAGTCAAGTCCGAATTTCTCCCTTCTCGATTACCCCATCCCTTTGCCAGATGTCACCTTCCCAGAGAGGGTATGGATCCCACTCGGTGGATCCACTGGTGCTGTTCAACAGACAGAGGTTCCCCAAAGTTCGAACGACTAACTTTGAACAGTCCAGAGTTCAAACTTTAGACTCAAGATAAAATCATTCTGCAGTTCGAACGATGCTTCTAAGTTTGAACTGCAGGAGAACTGGAAAAATGCGTAAGCATCATCCGTTGTGGCCCAAGGCAATGAAAAAACTGGAAGTCCTGAATCATTTTGCCTTGACTTAAATTCATTTGTCTCAAATCATTTTGTCTTATTTTATTTATTTATTTGGAATATTTTTATCCCATCCTACACAATCCAATTGTCCCAGGACGGCTTACAATATAAATAAGCAATAAATACACAAACAATCAAAAATATGGTAACAAAATGCGACTAAGAATATAATAAAACCAAATTAAAAGTATTTAAACCTTAAAATGTTGGGCAAATGAAAAGGTTTTTACCTGGTGCCGAAAAGCATATAATGTCAGCGCCAGGCGAGCCTCTCTGGGGAGCACATTCCACAGCCGGGGCACCACCACAGAGAAGGCCCTTCTCCGGGTGTTCTCTCTCCTAACCTCCTTCAAGGAGGGTTCCTGGAGAAGGGGCTCTGCCTCTGATCTTAAGGGGTGGGAGGGTGTATAGGGAAGATGTTCCTTCAGGTATCCTGGTCCCAAGCCGCTTAGGGCTTTATAGGTCAATACCAGAACCTTAAACTTTACACAAATGTTTCCTTACTGTTTATTAAAAGTTTCTTTTCCCTTTCTTTCTTGCCTTTTAAAACCCTCCTGTTTCTTTATTTGCTTGCTTATTTTTTTAAAAAGACAGCATAGAGCTGGGAAACTTGTGGCCATCAAAGCAATGCCCCCCAAGTCCCAATTCATCTTGCATCAAGGCAACCACGGCAGTGCTGGGGTGTGTTTGAAGCAAGTGGAAGTATTTTGAGGGTGATTAATGGCAAAATGTCTCTTACTATATATTTTTTTAAATTTAAACATTCACCATATTTTTTGATCACACCCACATATAACCTTGAACTTAATTTGTTTCAGGAGGCCATATTTGCTGTTTAAGTTTACCCAAATGAGTATCGTTTGGGGTCTGGGAATGGATCAATTCACTTTCCATTATTTCTAATGGAGAAAACTGATTCGGA